GGCATTACTCCTTTTCTTATATGTATAATGGGTTAACATTCTTGCAGTGCTTAAATTCCTATTCATTGTTTCTTCTAGGCTGGCATATCAGCAGTCATTTATTGAGGTCTACTGTAACATTCCAGCCTAAAATTATTTAGGCTCTGAGGCATTACCATAATGCAAGAGTTCAGTTTCTGCACATTTCATTCTTGAGTTAGGCCTGGATTAAATCAAAATGATTGCATCTCTCCATTGTCATATTTCTTGATGCCGAGATATACTATCTGTAGGCTTTACCTTTAGCAGCAATAAAATTTTGATTGAATTCTTGTCTGAATATATGGAAAGCAAAACTCTCCTTGACTGAACCCTTGCTAAACTCTGTAGAGAGAAATGCAGTAATAGCAGTCTCTTCAGCTGAAGATCAGATGTGATGATATGTTCAAGCCCTTTTACTTTCACATAATGTTTTGTAGTTATCAGACGACTCCAGTAAATTACCTGAATCATAAAAAGTGGAAACTGTCTCATCCTTTTCGGCACTACATGCAGTGATTTGTTTTTCGTTGTTTCAAACAGATGAAGAAATTGTATACAGAGACAGAGATGGCAATGTCATGAAACACAATGTTCACAGCAACCAGACGGGGATTGTTTTGAAAAACACCACTTTTGTAAGTATAATAAATAAAGACACGTCGAAGACTTGCTAGAAAAAAAAAGTAAGGTGGGATTCTGACTTTGTTTCCTTTCTTCTTCCCTAGTCCATGTTTAAGGCTTCTACCTTTGCGGTTTCTCCTGATCAGAATTTTGTTCTTCTGGGGTACAGTGTGAAACAGGTCAGTAGCTGCTCACACAGTAAGAAACAGGGCTGCGCAGATCCCTTCCTGTAGGGCCACAGTGTCAGCAGGCTTTCATTCCACCTGAGTTCCTAACTACTTAATGGATAAAGTATGGACTTAAAAGGAGGACATCTTTTCCCAGTTCCTTCAGAGCAGGAAATTTTTATAAGAGCTTTATAAGACTTCCAGGATTTTGGCAATCCAGAACTGGAGTTAAGTGGCACCAACATGAAGCATGCAGTGCATTGAAAACACAAGCAAGAAGCAAATGTTTCAGTTTAAGTAGTCAGCAGTAGCAAACAATCTATTTTAAAGTGCTTTGTTTTTTTCTTTAAGATTAAAAGAGATCCAGAAGGCTGTTATCATGCCACTGAGTTACTAAATGCCAGTGCCACAAACACTTTAGAAATTTCTTTCCACTTAGACAAAAAAGGCAGTTTTGAAAAAGATAAAAGAGACAAAGGAATAAAATACTGATTGCCTTTAGAAGTGCATAACAATTGTTCAGGCTTTTATTGATTCCTGGCAACATTTTACAATTCTGCCCCTTTACTGTCATAACTTCAAAAGCTCAAAAATCAAACACTCTGCCAGTATAACTGCAAGCCTATTTCTTTTTTCATTATAGATCAGTCTTTGTTTTTCGGGATACCATCTCCTTTCAGACTCTGTTTTATTCCAGATTTTGTACAGAGATCTAATGCACTGGAACTATGTGCACAGTATACAAAGTATAACTGATGCATGAACAGCAAATTAAAGTAACACTTTACTTCTTGTACCTGTAAGTTACCTGTCAGCCATAGTTTGGCACTTATCACTGAAACATCAATTAAATGTATAATACATGGCTAAGCCATGCTTTATTAGTGAAACACGTTAAGTAGGAATTAGACATTAGTGATGAGAGGTAATATTTACCTTAGCCAGCCTTTCCACAGGGCCTGTCCATCATCTGATGAGTGCTAGGGTGACATTCATTAATAACTAATGCATACCTTAATACAGTGTTACCAAAAAAACAGTCAGACGTGGAACATGGTTAAAAACATGATTCACGCTTTTCAAGCACTAATTTAAAGGTCAAATTATTTATAAAAAAATGAAGAAAGGAAGTGCTCTGAGGTGGTGGTAAACATGAAGAGCTGCATTGAGCATGGGAATCGTGGTGCAGATTTGTACGTATCCAGAAAGGAACACCCTGCGGGGTCGTGTTGGCTGCTGGGTATGCATATCAATTAGCTACTGTATGAGCCCAATAAAAACTCAGAACCGTAATATGTGACTATCTAGCTGTGTCATATTGAAGGATTATTCAGGGGAGACTTTGATTGGTGCAAAGAAGACCCTGCTCTTTGCTATTTCAATTTCAGCTTATTGTTAGTAGAATATAAAATTTTTCAGTTTGCATTTTCACTTCGTTATTCCTAATATCAGGTTGTTGCAGTAGTTCATGGCATAGTCACATGTATTTGTCTACATACTTGCATAGTGCCTGAGATATTTAAAGTAATTTATAATTAATATTATATGGTCCATGAATGGTGAAGATGTCTCACTTGTCAGAGCCAGCTAGTTTGATAGAAATCTCCAACAAAGTACACCGACTAACCACTGGGGAACATTTAAATGAAGTTGTATTAGTGCTAAACAGTACCTTTTAAAGCAATCATCTAATAGCAGAAACTGGAGAAAAGTGAAAAAGCTGCAAAGGCTACAAGTAATGCTAATCTGATTGCTGCAGAATTACTTCTCACCAGACTTTATTTTCCATGGTAACACACAGAATCTGTCCAGGTGTGTAAAAAAACATTTTGTTGCAATGCAAATACAAAATAACTTTGTGTATTATAAAAAAGTGTTATTAATACAGCAAACATTGTATAATTCACACAATTGTTATATCAAAACATTGTTATGAAGAATATACAGTCCCAGGAACTGTAGGGTTCATCAGTTGAATGGTTGGTCACTCAACACAAAAGAGACCTTGTGATGGGAATATGAACCTGAGTGTGTCTCTTTCACTACTTTCTGTCCTACTTACTTTGCGTTTTGGAATTCTGTTTTGAAAGCCATAGTTTTGATTCAGAGAAAAGTGGCATAAAAAAGTGAGTTTAAGGTGTTCTTGGGAAGAACTGAACCACACATGTTCTTGTACTGTATTTTGTGGACTCAACTTCAGAAGGGTCTTCTTCCCAGTTATTCGTTTCTTTAGCTCTGACTTACATTAAAATTGAATTTGTGATTTATTGCATCCCCTTTTTTGCAAGCTGTTTCCACAGAGTGCTGCTTTATTATTACAGAGACTTATACCAGAAAGAATAAGAAACCTTACTGAATTGCATCATGACATGTAAAATAGAAACTGTTCAGGAGGGTTGGTTGTTGGTTAGGTGGTTTTGAACAAATGAATGGAACAGCCATCACCTCTTCAGTAGCCTTATCACCTGTGTCTTGTGGAGTATGACTAGGTGTTATCAGTCAAATCTGCCATATATACCTTCCTGTGATGTTTTGATAAAGAAAGGTCATTTTCTGTGCAAATTCCTTTTTGTAAATGTCACACATCCCCATTGCTGACAGATGGCATTAGTGTTTTCTTGTTTTCTTTTCAGATCCTCCTACACGTTGACATTTCCTGCATTTCAGTGAAAGTGCACTTCTAGAACCCAAGACATTCGTTTTTCTATAGTCATGGCAACTCCACAAAACAAAGTCAATTATCACTGAGGTTAAAGATAAGCCAAATCACCATAGTTTATTCTAAATAACCTTTCTGACTGTTATTAGTCAAATCAAAATGTTTTAGTTTGCCAACACTGTGCATCCTATGATGTTGCACTGTAAATTATTCTCATCATAATAAAAATATTATTTTTATGGTACAACACAAAATGAGAAGTCAAAAGCCACAATCCCTTACCATTTTCAAATGATAAAACTGGTACAGTACCTGATGGTGGCTATTTCTTTACTAGAGGTTGTACATACCTTTGATACATTGCTGTAATAATTGGACTTTGTACAAATATTTTGTGACCTGATTATTTGTGAATTATCTTAATTGTTATTGTTAATTACTGTATCATTATATTCATTTTCAGGAATGTTCTACAAGTTTTTGACTACACTCATCCAGTTTCCTTCTGCAAACTAATTAATTACAGCTTTTTGTTTGGTTGCTACTGAATTCCAGGCCTGCCTGATCACTTCTTACTTTCTTAATTTTGCTAGTCACAATGAAAAACAATTGTTTACATCAATTTCTTTCTGCCTGTTCCACTTCCTCTTCTTAGTGGGCACCTTTCCTTGTTTTCCTTGTTTGTTTGTGTCTCTAGGACAGACAAAACTGACAAAACTGGTATGTGGACATTAGTAGGAATATTCAGGCCAGCAACCAAATATCATTCATATTTGGTTAAAAAAAATTAAAAGGATGCTATTTTTTCCCTCTGAAGTCTCAAAGAGCAGAATTTTGCTTTAGGGTGATTTTTTTGGAGGGATAACTGGATTCATGTCCCTACTTGTGCTGTTTAGCTGCTTGAAAGGAGGACAGTTGCACTAATGGTCCAAAAAATGAAAATTCCATCAAGGTTTAACCATGATCATAGTAATGCAATGATTTCATATTAATACACCAAGGCCCCTATCATCCATCATATTAAACTAATGTGTCTGAATTTTAGACCTTCTCTATTATATGTAAGAATAGTATAATTATATATAAAGGGCTATCAGAGATATTTAATCATGGAAATAAAAACATAATATTCTTTAGTTCGTTTTCTAAGTGTTGTCACCTGCTATACCCACACAAGTGCATGTGACAGGGATATGTCATCTGCCAAATGGACTATTTCCCTGCCATTTAACAGCAGTAATAAGCAGGAGCTTCATACTGTTCCTGTACCTCCTTTTCGCACATCAAAGCGTAGTACAAAGCAACTGGCGGCAAGTGAAACCATTACGTTCTCAACGCCTATTCTGTTTGCTCGCTGTCAGTATTTTTTCTACCAAATTTGCATTCCCAGTGCTCATTGTAATGCGAGTTAAAGCTGTGATGATTTTGCAATTGCTTGCTCCATTAAGCTCATGAATGGATATATACCAGGTCCCGAAGGTGAGGGCCAGGGGTCTGCTCAAGGTTACTGCACTGTGCTGAGTCTAGCCCTCACATGCTGCTTGGTATTCACTTTCACACAGTACTCTCACTCATTTGGAAGTAAATTGCTCAATAGCATTTTGAAAAAGTGATTATTGCCTAATTTTATTTTATTGCTTTAAGTGCATAAATTATGGCTAAAATCTAGAAGACATTGCTAAATTGAAGCATAGTACTTTGTCAATTTCATTTTTTCATGTGTCAGCAGTGAAGTATAAACATCCTAACATAAGTGCAATTTCTGTAATACGTTACAGAATGTTAACATTCAATTATCTCTACTTCAGAACATATGCGCAACAGGTAATTCAGTGAATGGGAAGTGGAACATTTTTTACAACAGTTTATTTTTTTCAAGCAATACACAGTCAAGGTGCTACACTCATCAAAACATAAAGTATGACATGTGTTTTTAAAGTAGAGCTCGCTGCATCAATATTGTGTAAAATAATTGCTGTTCCATTTAGAGAGGGAGCCAGAGGGAACAGCATAGAGGGGCATTAGACAGAGCACTGGAAAGTTAAATTTGGCAAAATACAAAAGTTAGAGGAAACAAAAATCCAAGATCCAACAGTTTTGATCAAATTGTAGTGACTCTCAAAGACCTTACTTTCAAAGGAGGGCATAAAATGTACATTTTAACAGGACAAATTAATTTATACCTCTAGAACATCATCAGATTGGTGAAGATCCCATTCTTTGGAAGTCAAATTCTTAATGTCTGACAAAGTCCTAGTAGTTGAAAAATCATTCCTTGCCTTTTGAAATATCGAAGCAAATACTGTACACAGATAAACGTGGAGGAAATGTGGTCAAAATTAAATATTTTTTA